CTAGCCATTGCTCACCAACACAAGTCAAATTGTTTAATCCCATAGTTAACCCTTTAGGACATCCGCAGTAAAATGTTCCGGGGATGTTGAAGCACTGATGACTGCAGCCACCATTATTGACGGCACATTCGTTGATATCTAAAAAAGAAAGCTCACTTCACCTTTCAGTTTGACAACTCTGCATAGTAACCGATTTAGAATATTGAGAGCCTTTATTACAAAGATTCATCAGAGGAAAAGGGCTTAAGCTTAAGAGGTGTTTGCCACTTTGCTTATTAGGTACAGTTAAGTGTAAATATTTTCGGCTGTTTCCAGAGAGCGATTGACTGTTTATGAGAGCGATCAAATAAGTGTCACATTCTAAAAGACTGGTACGGATGTTCTTATTGGATCGTCGTTTTTATTTGTAAAGAGAGTGATATGAATACGAGTAACAGACTCTAGCCGATTATGATTATTAGTTAATACTTCTCATGTTTCTCACCCGTACAAGACTTCCCGTTCGACTGCAGTTGAAATCCCCTTTCACAAGAACAGCTGTAATTTCCGGGAGTGTTGTCACAGTCCTGATCGCAACCTGCGGTTAACGTCAACTCCGGAAAAATATTTGACAGACCTGAAGCTTTCCAATACACAGAAAAAGAAAATTGTGGGTAATCGAAAACATTTTGCGGCAATGTTAAGCAATTTTCCAGCCTTTTAGCCGCAGCGTGTCTGTCGTTATTGCTGTTATAGTAACCTGAAGATACAGACACTCACCTCTGGAACCAGAGTAGGCACATTCATCTACATCTTTAAGGCGAAAAAAAAGAAGACATTACTGAATGCTGCATTCATCGAGATCCGTGCAAACGGAGAGGACGGGTGCACAGGTATTATAGACTAATTACACGACGGGAGAAGGATGGGTGAAAGCATGGATGACTACATGACCAGGGTGCATGGGTGGAGGGACGGACCCACAGATTTAGCAAGGATGAACGGAAAGAAGGACAATCGGATGGGAATTATTTTGGGGAAATCTATGCTCAGAATCCTCCAAAAGCTAGTTCCACGGT